AACTTTTTTCATCAATATTAAGAAATTATTTACTCCTGTATTTTGCTGAAAAGTTACTTGTAAGTTAGTTTTGTCTTATTTCATGAGTACAAAGATATTTGCATAAGAAACTAGACCAAAAACATTTGGTAAGATTTCTGCAGAGATGAGCTGGTTTCTCACCCGCCGACTCCCTCTCCGTCCAGCAGGCGGCGGTATTCTGCGATCTCCATCTCCAGTCGGGTCTTCATGTCCAGCAGCATCTGGTACTCCTGTCCCTGCCGCTCCAGGTCGGCCTTCAGCTGCATCAGCTGCTCCTCCAGAGACGACACCTGGTTCTGGAAGCCGCCCAGTATGTTGCTGTACCTGCTCTGCGTTTCCGCCAGTGTTGCCTCCAGAGATGCTTTCTGCAGGAGTGAGAGCAACGTTAGAGAGAGCACAGCAGCAGAAGAATAGTTGATCTGTCAGAGACTCACCATGCTGAGTTGCGACTGGAGCTCGATCTCCAGATTTTGCAGCGTCCGTTTGACATCTGAGATCTCAGAGCGAGACGTTTGGAGCGTTTCTGTGCTGACGGCGCTTTCTTTCTGAAGCTCCTCAGACTGGAAAACAGAAAACAAACGAAAATGCAGATGGAACTCTGCTGTCATCACTAATGTTTTTCTCTCTTGTATGTAAAAAAAGTTTTCCTTTTTTTTTCTTTTTCTTAATTTTAGGTGTTTAAACTTGAAGCGTTTAAACGCAGTTCCATTTGCCGCCTCTAGATGGCGACATAAACGTCCCAAAAGTATAGCAGGAAGGTGTCACAACCTAATAAATGATTAAATGAATCTATTTTTAAGATGTCTTAAAATGGATTAAGTGTAGTAAAGATTTCATATTTTATATTATAAATTTTAAAAAGCAGTAAAATGATTCCATTGTGAGCCTCAGCCTGTGGGCGGGGCTAACACTCATGCCAAGATAATTGGTGTGAAGTGAACTGCCTAATTATTATTCAATATAATTAGACATTTATTGTCTTCATTTTTTTCATTTAGTTATTTTATTATTTTTATCATTATTATATTATTATTTAAATCAGTAATATAATTATTTAGTAATTATATTACATAATTATACAATGAATATAATTATATAATGGCAGTAAGGAAATAATTATATTATAATGATATAATAAATATGAATAATAAATTATGTGATTAATCAATTAAATTAATTACTAATATAATTATTATATTACTGATTGAGTGTATATGCTTACATTTATGATGATTTTATTAATTATTAAATGCATTGATTAAATGTGTTATCATTCCCTTAATTTCACTCTTGATAACTACAGGTATTTGTTTATTTTATCTAAATTCTGATTGTTATAAATAATTTGACTTTCAAATTTTTCATTGTGGCCCTTATGGACCTCCGTAGAGGAACTGTTCCCTGGACTTCCTGTTTCCTGAGCCGATGCTTCAGCCTCACCTTGGCCTGGAACCAGTTCTCCAGATCTTTGCGGTTCTTGGTGGCGACGCCCTCGTAGTGTTCTCTGATTTCGGCCATCATGGCGGTCAGATCCGGCTGCTGCGCGGCTTCCACCTCCACGTTGACCTGCCCGCCCACCTGTGACCTCATGCTCTGCAGATCCTGCAGGAATGACATGATTTAGCCTGAAGCTTCGCTCCGCCTCGCAGCCGGACCGTCCGCTCGGCTCACCTCCTCGTGGTTCTTCTTCAGGTAGATCAGCTCCTCCCTCAGAGACTCGATCTGCATCTCCAGGTCGGACCTGGCCAGCGTCAGCTCGTCCAGGAGCCTCTTCAGCCCGGCGATGTCGGCCTCCACCGACTGACGCATGGACAGCTCGTTCTCGTACCTGCAGCAGAAACGGGGTTAGTAGCTGATCAGCAGTGAAGAGCCAAGTTTCCACCGTCAGGCTGCTGTTTGTGGCTCACTTAATCCTGAAGTCATCGGTGGCCAGCTTGGCGTTGTCGATGGAAAGGTGCAGAGACCCGTTAACCCGGGTGGCATCAATGATCTGAGAGGAGGACAGACGTGGTTTAAAACAGCTTTTCTGAGTCTGACTACTGGTGGAAAAATGAGAGTCTGATGATGCAGGTTAAGGTGAGGAGCGAGGCCTCGCGGGTTCTGGTGGTTCTGGGTGTGGTCGCTCCAGTTTCCTCCAGCAGGAAGAGGATCCTGCAGCGGGTGTGGCCCAGGCAGGCAGGATTTCAGGCTTTGTGTTCTTACAATGGAGCATCTACAGTTTCTCTGCCCTGACCTACAACCAGAACCAGAACCTGGACTCACCTGGTTCTGCAGGTCGCTGATGATGGTGTAGAACCTGGAGTAGTCCTGGCTCGCAGGTTGGGCCTTCTTGTCCAGGAACTCCCTGATCTTCTGCTCCAGCTCGGTGTTGGCCGCCTCCAGGCTGCGGACCTTCTCCAGGTAGGAGGCCAGCCGGTCGTTCAGGTTCTGCATGGCCGCCTTCTTGTTGTCGGAGATGTCCAGGGTGTCGGACAGGTTGAAGCCCCCGCCTGCGGCGAAGCCTGCGGCGAAGCCCGCACCTCCACCGGAGGCGAAGCCTGCGCCGCCTCCACCTGCAGCAAAGCCAGCACCTCCACCAGAGGCGAAGTTTCTGGAGGTGGTGCTGCTGGAGATCCGGACCCCGGAGCCGCCGGCGCCGCCGTAGACGCTGCCGGTCCTCATGGAGCCCAGGCGGCCCCCGCTGGAGTAGGAGGAGGAGCGGGTGGAGAAGATGGAGGCCATGCTGGAGGAGTTCTGCTGCTCTGGGTGGAGGAGAGGAGAATGCAGCGGCAGACGGGCTGAGCTGCCTTTATCTGCTGCAGGGGGAGGGGTTCAGGTAACACCCCCACCCACCGCAGGACGCTGACAAACTGCAGCAGGAATGCCAGGCATTTTATTCTGTTGGTCCATGAAATCAGCTACAGGGTGTGAGGGACGTCTTCCAGAACCAGAACCGGTTCTTATCAGACCCGGACCCCTCATCCTGATCCAGCATCATGTCCCGACCCGCCTGCTCTGCTGCTTTGGGCCCTGCAGGTCTGCACACATCCTCCCACTCACCTCTGTTCTCTTATTGTGCAACCAGACAATGAAACCTTGTTTGCTCTGATGAAACTGAGCCTCTGGAACCGCCGCAGATCCAAACCTGAACCCGAACCTGAACCAGGTTCCTTTGTCACCGAGTAAAAACGCCTCATTTCCATACGAGTCACATGTTTCCCAGTCAAATATTTGGCTCCTTTCTTTGAAATGCAAATATTTGCAGGTTTCATCTCATCCTCATCTGTCATCAGAGGAATCAGCTGTAAAAAATTTCCTCTGGCTGTGAAACGGTAAAGTTCAATGTCATCACCATGCCCCCCCCACCGCCGTGCTTTACAGCTCAGGTTCCCACCAGAACCTCTGAGTCTGGACCACAGAAATCACCAGTCAACTTTAACTTCTCTCCTTCTGAGCAAAACAAAAATACATTTCAAGAGTTTTTCTGGTTTAGGAAACTCCTGAGAAACAGAAAACAGAAACTTAAACTAAACCCTGATTTATTCAGACTCTGGGACATTTACAGTCATGAAAAAGTTTGGGCACCCCTATTAATCTTAATCATTTTTATTTCTAAATATGTGGGTGTTTGCAGCAGATATTTCGGTTTGATATATCTAATAACTGATGGACACAGTAATATTTAGTATTGAAATGAGGTTTATTGTACTAACAGAAAATGTCCAATATGCATCAAAACAAACTTTGACAGGTGCAAAACTTTGGGTACCCTTATCATTTTATTGATTTAAATACTCCTAACTACTTTTCACTGACTTACTGAGCACAACATTGGTTTGGTAACAACATTAAGCTTTGAACTTCATAGCCAGGTGTAGCCCATCATGAGAAAAGGTATTTAATGTGGCCAAATGGAAGATGTTCTCCTATTTGAATCTCCTCTGATGAGAGGCATCATGGGCACCTCAAACAAAGATCGTTCAACATAGTTGTTTAGGGGAAGGATAGAAAAAGTTGTCTGAGATTTCAGCTGTGAGTTTCCACTGTGAGGAGCACAGTAAGGAAATGGAAGACCACTGGGACAGTTCTGGTTAAGCCCAGAAGTGGCAGACCAAGAACAATGTCAGAGGCAGAGAAGAAGAATGGTGAGAACAGTCCAGGACAACCCACAGACCACCTCCAAAGACCTGCAGCATCGTCTTGCTGCAGATGGTGTCACTGTGCATCGTTCAACAATTCAGTGCAGTTTGCACAAGGAGAAGCTGTATGGGGGAGTGATGTGAAAGAAGCCATTTCTGCAAGAACGCCACAAACACCCGCTTGAGGTCTGCAAAAGCACATTTGGACGAGCCAGCTTCATTTTGGAATAAGGTGCAGAGAACTGATGAAACAAAGATTGGGTTGTTTGGTCATAAAAAAGGCCTTATGCATGGCGGCAAAACGCAGCATTCCAAGAAAAACCCTTGCTACCCACTGTAACATTTGGTGGAGGTTCCATGATGCTTTGGGCTGCGTGGCCAGTACCGGCACTGGGAATCTTGTTAAAGTGGAGGGTCGCATGGATTCCACTCAGTATCAGCAGATTCTTGAGAATAATCAAGAATCAGTTACAAAGTTGAAGTTATGCTGGGGATGGATATTTCAGCAAGATGATGATCCAAAACACTGCTCCAAATCTACTCAGGCATTCATGCAGAGGAACAATTACAATGTTCTGGATGGCCATCCCAGTCCAGACCTGAAGATCATTGAGCATCTGTGGGATGATTTGAAGGGGCTGTCCATGCTCGGCGACCATCACACTTAACTGAACTGGAATTAAGAGGAATGGTCAGAAATGCCTTCATTGGGTCCAGGAACTCATTAAAAGCTACAGGAAGCAGCTAGACGCTGTTTGCAAAAGGAGGATCTACTAAATATTAATGTCACTTTTCTGTTGAGGTGCCCATACTTTTGCACCAGTCACATTTTGTTTTAATGTGTACTGCACATTATTTTTCAGTCCAATAAACCTTCAATGCTGAAATATTACTGTGTCCATAAGTTATTGGTTGTATCAAACTGAAATAGCTGCTGCAAACATCCAAATATTTAGAGATAAAAGTAAATAAAAGGGGTGCCCAAACTTTTTCATGTGACTGTATATAAAATACATTTAACATGCAGTCGGAGCAACGAGCCCCTCCGATACCGAGCAGTAATTTAAAAACAGCCGAAGCAGCAACGCTTCAGCCCGATCCAAACCACACAGGTAGTCAGTCAGATTAAGGTCCAAAACCTTCACTTTACAGCCATTTAAGTTTCACCGATCCACATGAAAAAACCCACAGAACAAATGGTACAAATCACATATTTCCCGAATACCGAAAATATGACATCTACCTTTGCTGTTTCATAATTATAATCCACGTTAGAGTGAATTTTTCCCTTGGCTGCTATAATCTGTTCTTGCTTTACACAATGTAATTTCTCTTTTTTTCCTCTGAGATTCTGCTTAGAAAATGAGGTTATGAAGTTACATCCTCCTGCTTTTTGTTTTTAAAATGGTAAATTTAGGTTTGTTTGGACTTTTATAAACTAATGCGTCTTATATGCGTCATTTTTTGTGTTACTGTTGGTGCAGATATCAGGTGAACACTGTGCTTTGCCTTAATTTCAGCTGCACACTTTCAAAAGAGTATTCAGATTTTAACATGCATTTTCTAAGTAGTATTTAGTTCACTCTTACTCAGTAACTTCAGTGTTGTTACACCTCTGAAACAGTTTTTGCAGTTTCTTTGTGATACCAGAACTATTTCACTTAAACATTTAATTTCCTGAGATATTGTCAGCTTATTTTCAAGCAAAACTCTCAAAAGGAGCTGAGGATTTATTAGTTTTGATTACGTTGTGCAGCTAAATATGGATAAATATGGACGTTTATTAGTTTTTTGTTTGTTTTTAATTTTTCAGGTTTGCATTGCAACACCTCGTGTTTCTGAGCCATGATCGCTGTGCCGATTACCTTTCCATTGGATCCAAGCACCTGGACCAGCTGACGGCGTCCATCAGTCCACCGACTGCCGGATCATCACAACGTGGACTAACTTTTTATTTACTTGGTTAAACTATGATCTGGAAACCGGAGCACCAGATATGCAAAAATCTGCCTGCAGAGACTTTGTTGGCTACCCTGACACTGCAGTCATCCTGGACGGGGCTGAGCCGCTCTTCCTCTCTCCTCTTCCTCTCTCCTCTTCCTCTCTTGACGAGTTTTCATCACCAGTAAAGGCAAACAAGTCTGATGTCTGATTAGCTGCTAGGAAGTATATTATATATTCACTGTTCATTTTATCCTGTTTGTACCTACAATAAAACTGAATCTCATTTGTAATACTCTACATTTTACAAACCTTTTTTCCCTTTTCTGTGTTTATATCAAGTATTTGCATGTTGATCAGGAATTCAAGTGAGATATTAAAATGCAACACATTTAGGTAATGCCAGCAAAGAAATGTGAATATTAAGCAATATGTAATTAGTCATATAATTTAATATACTGAATAAGGCTGGATGATGTGACTTACAAGATTTTTTTTCATACCAGATTTGATTTTAATCGATTCCTCCTGCCCTCAATTTCTATAATAAAATCACAGAAAATATTTTCAAAAAGTGCCTTTATTTCAACCATCTGTTCTGTGAGTTGTATGAGGGAGCATTACGCTCAGGATACAAGAAATTTTAATTACAAGAATGCAGTCATCGTTACAGCAGAATAAAGGTGCAATTTTATAACAATGTCTTAAAATTACAAGAAGATGTTTTAGACATTTTGTCAGTAATCAACAGGATGTACATTTCCACCTCACCTGACCAGGTAAGCATTAAGGTAAAAATAAAAAATAGAGCAAATACTGTAAACAAAATGGAAAAAGAGCAACTGATAGAAATACTTTCTATATAAAGAAAAGCAAAAAAGTTAATAGGAGAAAAGTTGATGGCAACATTAGTTCAGCCGATCTCTCCCTCCAGGAAGCCACCAAACAGAACTCTGTCCAACTCCAACTATAATAAAGAAAAAGAAATTAAGAAAATGGAAAGTTAAAATAACAAATGATGGCAATTTAATAATTCAGATCTAATGCGTTCTGGAATCTATTATTGACATTTTACAAATTTCACAAATCAATTAGAAGGTTTCGCAAATGTTTTATTTATTCTGCTGTTAGTGCAGAATAATCTAGTTGGGTTTGAAAAGTCTAGGTTTTGTTTTTAAAGTACAACACATTTAAAAAGCTCAAGATAGTGACCTTTAGCTATTTTCCGAATTAGATGCTACATTCGGAAGCTAACTTCAGCTTCGACTGATAGCTTGGGCACAATATAGACAATCTATATATGTTTATATAGATATATATCTATATCTATCTATAAAGCATAGATATGTAGATTGCACACTGCACAGATAATCAAAACACTTAACGTTTACATAGCACCTTTGTAAGCTTGTCCCTGTTAGCTACGTCAGACATATGAGGCATTTTGGTGAATACAAACGATTTTTTAACTTACCTTCTAAGTTATTGTGAAGTTTTGACACATCCAGCTTAAATCCTTTGTTGTTGTTGGAGCGTTTCAGGACGTCTGAATAATTATACAGGCATCATTAATAGTCCTAAAGCGACTGAGGAGCCACTGTTAACGTCCTGTTGCCTGTGGACCGGAACCATGTGGCAAAAAAATGCGGAAGTGTTAAAACGTTAGTCCGTGGCATATACCCCATTGGCCGTTTACATCCATGCTCTTATTTTGAACTCTTTCAGCCAGCAGTTCCTTTTCCTCTCCTCATTTTGAGCAAGTGGCCAAAAAACAAAAAAATCATCTTGAACTAACGACAGGGCAGCTAACGATACGCTGCTGAGGAACGCTGACAAACTCACAGCAATGATCTGACTTATTTATCCTTTCATAATAAAAAACAATGGAGCTTTAACTGTTATTCATTCACTTGTAGATGTCAGTTTCAAACTAAATATTTATTTCCAAATGTAGAGATACAAAAGTAGTTAGCTACATTTAGCTAATTGGTTTGAGCTTAAAGCTAAATATTTATAGCAAAATATTTAACAAAATATTTAGCTTCAGACTAAATGTTTAGATATCAAGCTAAATATTAAGTTTGGAGCTTAGTTTATAATTCAACAAATAACATATAAATAATAATATGAGCCCCTGTTTCTTCATGTTATAACAGGCTAACTAACGCAGTTCAGCGGTTTGTTCCAGACAGTTTCTAATCTGACCGGCTAAACCTGAGTTAGCAAAACTCAACGACTAAACAACAATCACTTCCTGGAGGCCAAGCCCTACAGGAAGCGGCGTATTATTGACCTTGATGTAATAAATTGAGACCGTTTCGCTAGCTCCTCATCTACAGTGGGACTCCGATTAAAAAGGTGACATGGAAGCAGAGCTCTTAATTTAGCAGAGTTTACTGGTTCTGTAATCTACAGAACCAGCTGTATGTTATCTGCAAAACAACAGCAAAATCATAGAGTAATTATACATATAATGTCTACGTCATATCTGACATTCAGTTCGCTAAATTTGCTTCTTATCAGTAACACTGATGAATTGCACTGCAAACATACAGTAAACAAGAGTCATGAGAAGCACTGCTGCAGGAATTACATGACTATAAACCACATATCAACACCATATGAAGCAGCACAAACTCACGTTTACAGTCACGCATACAAGGTTCCTTGCTTGCTGGGCTGCAATAAAGAAATGAAAACTGCAGAAACAGCACATGGTTAAGGACCCCAATAACAACTAGCTGTCCTAGCAGTTGCCTGACACAGTATCATCAGTCCAACTATGCGCTCTAGTTCTAGATTCAGAACACTTGACCTTGGAGGTGAAATGACACTTGGAGTGATTAGCTGCTGCTTTAGCATTAGCTTCTGCTAACTACTCAGTTGGTGATGGTGGACGTTTAGGTGAGAGCAGCTAACGTTTCCGGTGGCCTGATCGCTCCAATGTGTCTCTGCAGTTTGCGGCAAAGCGTCGCTCAACACGAAGAGCGGCACGAGGATCGTGGGCGGCCAGGACGCGGCGGCCGGGGCGTGGCCGTGGCAGGCCCGGCTGAACATCCAGGGGGGGCTGTGTGGAGGATCCCTCATCAACAGCCAGTGGGTTCTCTCTGCCGCTCACTGCTTTGGGAGGTGAGGTCTGCTCATGTGACATCACTTCCTGTTCAGCACCAGGGACAGCAGCTGAACAAAAAGTTGTTTTTTTTTTTAATTGAAAACTGTGGGACAAACAGAAACACTGGTTGTTAACCAGCCAACAACAGCAGATTTACAAAGAACCAGGCGGCCTTTAGACACTCGGAGGCTCCGAATCCTGAACTGACAGTTTTCTTGTTGGAGATGTTTTTGATATTTGAGTCATAAATGAGAAGTTCTTGGAGGAAGTATCCAGCGTTGGGTTCGGAGTTCGCCTATAAACCAAGTGTTGCCTGTTTCTTTCAGCACCAGCACGTCGGGCGTGACCGTTTCCCTCGGCCTTCAGAGTCTGACGTCCTCCGCTAACGTGGTGACCCGCAACGCGGGACGGATCATCGTCCATCCGGACTACAACTCCAACACAAACGACAACGATGTGGCCTTGGTGCAGCTGTCCGCCGCCGTGACCTTCACCGACTACGTCCAGCCTGTCTGCCTGGCCGCCGATGGCAGCGTCTTCCCGTCCGGACTGGACTGCTGGGTCACCGGCTGGGGGACCCTCAGCGAGGACGGCAGTAAGATTCACTTCCTGTCGCTTCGCTGAAGGCAACGATGATGCTAGGAACAGCCAGGCTTTGGAGCGGTGGCGCCCTCTGGGGGTCCTACACGGTTCCGCTCTCTCCCTGGTTCAACACACCTAGGTCAGATGACGGCTCGTTAGCAGGCCTCTGCTGAACTTTGACCTCCTAAAGGAAGTTCTGCCACCGGGGAGGGAAGTGATGCCCCGCTTTGGGGCATTAAGGTCTGAGCAGAGAAACAACGAACGGCTAGCCGGTCCAGGGAGCCAGCGGAGCGAAAACGTACAGCATTTAAATTCACCTGCTCGAGGTCAGAGATTAGGGCGATGCATGTGTCAGAGGTCAGGGGTCAATGTACTGCATGATTTATTCTCTCACATCAGTTGATTCTGTCAGTAACAGATTTTGTTCTTTAAAAAAATTTAAAATAAAAACTGAAAATTTATAACAGCTGAAAATCGCAGACAGAGAGAACAGATACAGGAAGTTATGACCACTGAAACAGGAAGTGGTCTGTTACGGCCACCCAAACAGGAAGTGGTCTGTTATGGCCACCCAAACAGGAAGTGGTCTGTTACGGCCACCCAAACAGGAAGTGGTCTGTTACGGCCACCCAAACAGGAAGTTGTCTGTTATGGCCACCCAAACAGGAAGTTGTCTGTTATGGCCACCCAAACAGGAAGTTGTCTGTTATGGCCACTGAAACCTCTTGAACTTTTTCACAGTGGAGTGGAAAACCCGTTTTTTGTTCTGCTTTAGCCTCACATATCAGGTGGGATCCTGTTTACCTGTGCAGGTGTTTCCAGGTGGCCCATCTGCAGCTCAGTCTGTTCTCTGATGTTTCCTCGGAAAGCAGTCGAGAATTGCTGATCAGTTATGGATTTACTGATAAAATCAGAAAAAATCTGATCATTGATTGGTCTGTTGTCTCCCCCTGCAGGCACTGCTCAGACATTGCAGGAAGTGGACGTTCCCATCGTGTCCAACAGCAAATGCAGCGACTCCTACAGCGTGTTAACAAACAACATGCTCTGTGCCGGTCTATCCAGTGGAGGGAAGGACTCCTGCCAGGTGAGTCACCTGTTCTTCCCTCTAAGGGGTTAAAGGTCACGCTGGAAGCTTTCTGACCTGAAGTCGTTTTTGTGGCGCAGGGAGACTCCGGTGGACCTCTGGTCACCAAAAACGTGACGGTGTGGGTCCAGGCTGGCGTGGTGAGCTTTGGGCGGGGCTGCGCCCAGGCCGGCTTTCCGGGAGTTTACACCCGAGTTTCCAACTACCAGACCTGGATCAACAGCCAGGTGAGCGGCGAGCAGCCGGGATACGTCAGCTTCCAGGGCACCGCCGCCGCTGCTCGCCCGCTGGCCGCGTCGCTGCTGGCCGTCCCCATGCTCAGCCTCGCTCTGCTCATGTCCTGAGGTCCAGAACCGGAGCGGTGACGGCTTATTATTAACAAAACTGCTATAAACAGAAACAATTCTTTATTTATGGAAAATTCTTAACATTGAGAGTCATTAATGTCATAAAAATCACCAAAAATTTGTTTAAAATGTAGGGGGCTTATTTTGATTCTCATAAAATAAAATGAATGCAAACTTTTCATCTAAACTTTTAAACCCCAATTTAATCTTTAAAGAATTAATTTAAATATTTGTATAGGTTAGGGTAACCTTCACCATAGTGACGAAAGTATTCATAATAAAGTTTTAAATATAATTAAAAACAATAAGAAGCTTTAACTCCTTCCTGTCCTGATCATCAGAACTGAGATTAAAATTAGATTTTATTAAATCTTTACGGTTTACATGATAATAAAGTGTTGAATTTAATTATTTTCTGTTTCTTGGCTCCAAACTCAGTCAGAAAATGGTTTAATTGTTTTGCTGTTGAATGGTTTGCACAAATTTTACATGATGTAACTGATGAAGTTTTTATTTCTGATTATTTTTGTTTGTAAACCTTTACTGTGATTTATTATTAAATGAGGAAGTTTTCATGTTTGTGTCTTGATAAAAATTCTCAGGGTTCAGCTTTTCTCTGGTACTATATGAAGTAAATTAATCAAATTAATCTAAGTATTTTTCTATTGGACTTTCCGGGTGCCAAGTTCTTAATAAAGGAAACAAATTGTCCCTTTGTTTTTTGTGTTTGGGTTGTTTCTTTAACCTTTTTGTTCTGTGCGTGTTGCCGTACTGCAGCTTCTAGCTAGCGCGGCGCTCCAACCATAGACCCTCATGGACCCATAGACATATTATAAGGACAGACCCTCATGCACCGCTNGACTGGAGGAATGGCTGAAAAGGTTAGGACAGGTGGGGGTGTATGAAGATGAAGAGGATGAGGAGGAAGATCTGCAGAGGTTTTCCTGTGGTTCATTAGTTCAGCAGTTGAGAACTGGAGATCTAAAGTTTAAAACCAGTTGCTGACATTTTATTTATTATTCCACTGGTGGAAACACGACTGCTAATGCTAAAGCTAATGATTGCAGCTCAAATTCTCAGCTTAACATGTCAGCATTTTTGCTAACTTTGAAATCCCATAAAAATTTTCCAGAAAACTTGTAAAACACTTATTTCCTCGGCTGATTTGTACACTTTCAGCTGAGTAAAGTTCAACATGTGGACTGAAGTTTTGCTCAACGAATTTCTCAGGTAATGGTGTGTATGCCACGAGAGGTGGTGACGTATTTCCGTTTGAATTTATTCCACATAGATTGTGTCCAGGTCCTGCTGGCTCCTATTGTTTTTAGCCAAAGCTCCAAGATCTGTACCATGAAAAAGACGCAAAACTTAAAATATCTGTGAGCTACAGGTACAACAATGGAGTTTTTTGGTGTGCCGTTGTGTCCAGTAATTAGCCGGAACTGTTTTTTCATTTCCCTGCTGATACCAAGGCGACAGCGGACTGTAGCCAAAACTTAGCCACTACAGCTAACGCGGTTTGTTGCTGCCTGCTATTTCAAACTTGAGGATATTGAAGATCCAGCGTCAGAAATGGAAAGACGGAGGTTAAAAGGAGCTGAACGGTTCGTTCACTGGAAATATTTGTTGGAGGAAATCCACCGTTACGGGAACAGGCTGAGGACAGAGGCAGCGATTCGGCACAAGGTAAGTCAGTGTGTGTGTTGATGCGTTTGTGTTATACGGCGTATGAAATTATTTTTAGGCAATTCCTTAGCTCTTGTTTATATGACATTTACAGTCATGAAAAAGTTTGGGCACCCCTATTAATCTTAATCATTTTTATTTCTAAATATGTGGGTGTTTGCAGCAGATATTTCGGTTTGATATATCTAATAACTGATGGACACAGTAATATTTAGTATTGAAATGAGGTTTATTGTACTAACAGAAAATGTCCAATATGCATCAAAACAAACTTTGACAGGTGCAAAACTTTGGGTACCCTTATCATTTTATTGATTTAAATACTCCTAACTACTTTTCACTGACTTACTGAGCACATCATTGGTTTGGTAACAACATTAAGCTTTGAACTTCATAGCCAGGTGTAGCCCATCATGAGAAA